CAGGAGAGAGAGGCAGGTATGCACCAATTGGCAATTCGGGACCCTCCAGCTATACACACTATCCGGAATGTACACACTGGTATGTATATAAATGTTGAGAGGTTAAACGGTTGCAGTGCTGAAATAATCGGGGAAGCCCTACTAGCCATGTGCGTCTCTGCCTACTCCAATCATGGAGTCCCAACTGGAGACTCTATGATTGGACTTGCTTGAGCGGACTGATGGAGGTGATAAAAACTGACAAATGCCCATGTTGCAGAGCCATTTGTCATGAAAATGATTGAATGTTCCACACTCAAGTAAGCTTGCAAGGTGCTGCAGTCAGGCAACCAGCAGCAGCAGCAGCAGCAGCAGCAGCTCTGCTCAATCCGGCTGGTGGTCGAGTTGGGGGGCATTGTCACCAATTCCTGCAGTAAATTCCTTGAGTGAGGAGTCGCCTCGGTGTATATTTAAATCGAATGAGTGTTTTCTTTTGATGTCTTTTTTTTCCTCTCATTATCTCTCTTTCTCTTCATATCTGGACTGAGTGCGTCTGTATGTCTGTCTGTAAATTTGAGCTGGGTAAGGAAGATGAGGACGACGAGGGGCGGTGGGTATGGGGCAGGGGAGGCATGTGCACTAGCCTGTCTCACTCCAATCATGGAGTCCCCAGTAGGGTGCCGTGCGTTGGCCGAGCTGTACTGCACGGATGGTAGAGAAGAGAGCACACCTCCTCTCAACGTAGGGAAGAAATCATGGCCTTCCTGAAGGCATTGTACTTCATGCCCTTGTAATCCTTGCGGCATGTTTCCCCTCCACTCCACCTTCCCGCTCTGCCATATCCAATTCGCGCGTCGTTGCTGGTGAAATCCCCAATCATACAGAACGGCAGAAGTTATGGCCTGCTTCCCGACAAGCTTAGGAGAAACGTTCTTAATCAGACAGAGAGCAATCGGCTCATGAACACGAAACACAAACTGAACAAATTCACTGGAATAAAACAGCATGAACAAAAAAAACAAACAAAAAAAAAAAAAAAAAAAAAAAAAGAGGATGAATCTCTGCAGTGGATACATCGAAAAAGTTTAAGCATTCTGCGCGAGTCCATCCTTCACACACACACACACACACTCTCTCTCTCTCTCTCTCTCTCTCTCTCTCCCTTGGAATTACTCACTAATTCCATGACCAATTGAAAATTTTGAAAAGAAATAAAAATAAAAATACACCTTTCCACATTAATATGCAAATCTAAGGATTCCCTCCCCGTTTCCCTTGCACGGTGAAAGCCGGAGTCGAAAGCAACGGGGATCCAAAGCAACAGCGACAGGATTGGACGTAGTGGTCTAGACCTCCACTATATCTAGTGAACAATCCAAGGCATCAATCAATACATTCAACATCCAATGCAACCCAATCAGTAAGTTATACGTACACGTATTTTGCAGTTCGGATATTTTCATCAAAATGATTGATACGAACTTATGGAATAAAATGTGTGAGTGAGTGCCACATTTTTGTTCTCGCTTACTACAGTGCCGATCAAATCGCGCATACCAACAAAATTATGAAAAATAAAATGAAATGGTAATCTGGGGAAACTTGGATGCATGCAAGAGTATGACAGCACCCTTGCGTGCTATAAAGTCTGCTGTTTCAGAAGTAAATGCTTGTGACCCTACCAGCTCAAAGCATGCAAACGCTTTTAAAATTCCAATTTTAGGGTCAATGGTCAACCCATTCTGTCATTTATAGACACGTCGCTGATTCATGCAGGGGGATACCCTTCTGAAGAGAGTTGACACATTCAGTCTAACCTAAACGATGAAAATACATGTCCTTGATGAGGCGACTCCGTAGATGAGATCAATTGGTCCAAAGAGTCCTTCCCCAATCTAGATCGTGTCCATGCGACGACGAGGGTAACAGTACTTCTTCTATTTTACCCCAACGCGCCTTTCAACACCATTATTCCGATTCCTAATATATGCATATTGTCACATTTACCGTCTCGGGTACCGATTAATTTTTATTTAGTTCACTTGGCTGCTGGCTCTCCAGTTCCGGAGCCGTCCCAGTTTCGGACGAACCGACGTGCGATTCAGGCTATTAACATCTTCCCCGAGGGGCTGTCACTCACATGCTGTGTCTCGCTTCGACCAGGGATGCAGCATTGTTCTGGCACACTTTCATCAATTGGGATACAGCCACTTCGACTCTCACTGATCATTCCTGATGGAACCCTTTACTCCAGGGCTACTATATCGCCTCTCTGACAATTTGCCAATCGGTGTAGGCTCGCATCCAACAACGTGAGGAAATGCGTGAACATCGCCACGGTATTCCGGAAATGAAATAAACAAGATGAATTGCTGGTAGTCAACTTCCTCTCGCTCTCACTTTCTCCCGTTTCTCCCTCTCCCTGGATCGTGCAACTTGCATCCACACAAGCTTAACATGAATCAACATCAACTCAAATCCTGAGCTCGGATTCTTTCGCTTGAGCGACTACCCACTTACGCTTTCTTTCTTAAGCTTCTGATTTGGACTGTAAGGGGAGATACGGGGCTGGGATTCCGAAGGGATTAACTGAACAATCCTCGCAACGATTCGTCCTCCTCCTCCTCCTCCTCTTCCCCCGTCCACGCCATCGCTGCGGGATCCGCTGACCCGTTACCGCACGCTCAACCAGAAGAAAAAAACTATAAAAAAACAATAAAATACACTGCGACACCGTCATCGCTCATTCATCACCATCTCCGCCTTCGGCCTTTCACGGCCATGCGATACGTGATACTGTATACCAGCACACGCACACACACACACACGCACAATTATACATTTTTATGATATTTTTTGTGATTTGTTTACATTATTGTTGTTATTATTGTGTGGGTTGCCAAAATACTGCCCTCTTTTTCAGGACCAAGTTTTTCCATCTCCTGAGTGGAATTTTATATTCAACGAATAAGAAACGTTAACAGCATTTTTCATCGAAAAATGGTTTTATAAAAATAGGACATTTATAGAATAAAGTAGATGGAAAACCATGCGCCACTTGATTTTAACTTAAAATCTGGTCCACGTTAGTTCATGGTGGCAAGTAAAATTATATTAGTTGACTTGAGCATACTATGTAGTGTGCTGCACAGATGGGCCGCTTACTACTTAAAGCTCTCTTTTATTATTTTAATTTCTCAGGAATCTGCTACATTCAATGCTTTCCTTGTTCAATGTTTAAAATAGAACTACTGATTAATTTTCGTGTCCAGCATCTTTCTTTTATTTTTTAAGTTTAAGTTGACTTAATTGTTAAACAGTAGGGTTTTTAAGACTTTATTTTAAGTGTTCTGAAAATGGTCTTTGATTATTCATTTTTTATTTTTAAGTATGTATATAACTTGTGAAAACTTATGAATACGTGTGCATATATATATATATATATATATAAACTTCTTCTTCTTCTTCTTCTTCTTCTTTTGTCATGACATTTATAAACATGGACTTTTCTTTTCTTGCGTTTTCTTTTCTCCATCACAAACATTTGAATTTTTCTTATTAGAAAAAGTCCATGGTTGACATTGTAATCAAGTTCATTATGTCCATGTTCATTAATCAAAATAAATTAATCAAATCAATCATAATAGTATGTATGTATGCATGCATGCAATAAACATAACCAATTTATGAATTTTATAGGACATAAAAATGGAATGCACAAATTAGCATGTGTAATTAAAATAAACAATGAATGGTCCTCTTCATTTAGAGGAACAAAATGGCTAAAAAGCCCTATGAAGCATCATACATGGACTTCACTTTATATATTTTTTGTGGGTACAATCCACAACAAGTACACATTTAAGTTTTGATGTATAAAAACAATTATGTTTTTGATGAACATGTTGAAAACATTTTATCTTGTGAACAATACTTTAAATAGTTTTGGTCATCTGGGAAAAAAAATCATATTACCTTTGTAATAGTACTCATCAATTATGCTCTAATATTTTTGTGTGAGCATATGCTCATAAACCAATAAACCAACAAGTTTCACAGCTTCCTTTGGCAAATTTGTAAATATTTACCATAAATCCAAGTTTTCAAGAATTTGATTCTTAATTTGGATACGATCGTCCATATATATATATATATATATATATATGTATATACACATAGGGGAATGTTAAATAGATATAGGTTTTTATTAAATTGACCCACCCATCCTAACCATCATGAAATGAAATGAAAAAAAGACAAAAAAGAAACTCTAGATTCATTTCTCCATTGCTAGATCCAAAACCAATGAAAATCAACCACATTCATCCCAATTACCATATTCTTCATCATGGGTAAGTTGATTTAATAAAAACTTGGGACTGTATATATCTCTCTCTCTATACATTTACATATCTATATATCTCTCTCTCTATACATTTACATATCTATATCTCTCTCTCTCTCTCTCTCTCTCTATTTTTATATATATATATATATATATATATATATATATATAATTGAATTTGTAGTTCAACAAAGAGAAACCCTTATATAAAAGTGAGAGACACTTGTGCGCCATTGGCATGGGATTTGCACGACGACGAAGATGTGGAGCGACGGACGTCGGACGGACGTTGGACGGAAGAGGGGAAGGGAAGAAGATGCAGAGCCGAGGAGATCGACCCCAGTGGAATGAAACTTCAGCGCGGAGAAGAGAAGAAGAGGCGCCTTCCGAAACAATGGCTCTCTCTCTCCCTCGCACACTACCGAAAACATTGCTGCTATTGTTACTGGTATTATGATGATGATGATGATTGATTGATTGATTGAGGAGGAGGAACCTTGTGCCGGATCATAGACAGAGATAGAAACACTCCGCATGTCCAGCGCCTATTGACTTTAAATGGAGGGAGCCTGCTGCTGCTGCTGCTGCTGCTGGCTGCATGACCATCCTAAATTGAGCAGCACCCTGCGATATTGTATCATTCTACGGACCTTTCCAATGAATATATTCAATTAATGAGCACCGGTATACCCGCCAGTCTGCGACCCCCCCCCACTTTGACCCTGCAGGCCACTAATTAATCGCCACCAAGGAAGGACAGAGCCAGGACGAGACAGCAGCGGGAAGCGAGAGAAGGGGAAGGGGATGGAAGGAGATGGGCAAGGATCGATCGAAGGGGAAGGAAGAGATTCAGGGTGAGCGAGTGAGAGAACATGTGGGCAGGAAGGGTGCAGCAGACACACACACCCTTTGCACGAACACACGCACCTTGCGCAACCTAAACCCTCTTTCCAATTTCCTATGTGGAGGTAGCTATGTTTAGCTAGTGGAGGGTGTGCGTAGATTACCAGTTTTTGTTAGAGACCAACGCACAATCCGAACCCCTGGTGCAGGGGAGTGAGTGTCTTCCGTCATTCTCCCGTCAGGGACCACGGTGTCAGAGACGAAGGCTTAGTCCAGCAAAGGGAGCTCCCCCCCCCCACCTCACTCACCCCCTGATTTCCCTGACATCGCATAAATTATTTTCTTTACAGCGTGGTTCTCGCCCACCCTCTGCTGCTGCACTGACAGATTGAAGCGCGTGGGGAGGGCCCTGTCGGTAGAGCATCGCAGCCGCTGGTCACCATCCATCGGAAACCAGCGTTCGCCCGATGACGATTTCTTTAATTTTTTTATTCTATTTTGGCGGTTTTTGTATTGTAAGTAATTGGTGTGTGTCCCATTTTCTATAGCCCTTTCTCTTCTGGCTCCCGCTACCTGGCCTTCATTACACTGACTAATGTCATTCTGGTGACTTACTCGCCCCCTTCACCAGTCACCATACACGTGCTCTCTGCATCGTACTGCTTTCTCTCTTTGCTGGATGCCAAGGGATTGATGCATTGTTTGTCCTCTGCAAATCAGTTGTCGGAAGCGGCTCAGCCTCCGCAGTTGGTTTTTGAGCTCGAACTTGCACTTCTGTGGATGAAGAGCTTTCTGTACAACGGCTGGAATCGGAGGTTGTTGAGGTTGTGTGGCGTGTGGTGAAGTGCATTGTAGCGGTGGACATGCGGAGGGGATCGGACGATCTTGTGACGCGGTTGTGCTAGGGGGGGGAAATCTCAGGTCGTGGATGTGCACCTTCTAGGTGGAGAGGTGGTAGGTGACCTCAGGATTGCAACGTTGCTATGGTCGAGTGCCATGAGCGGCAGGTGAAGCGACCACAGGTAAAGTCGATTTCGCGGATAGAATGGCACATGGTTTCTGTGCTCTGGGGATCGGATTTCCTTAAATTGTCGCCAGTGTTGCAGTGGCTGTGAAGTTTTGGCGATTGAATTTGTGATTGTTCATAGTCTACCATTTTTGGTGGTCAACGCTTTTTCGTCACGTAGCTCCTACGCCGTGGTCCACAGGGTTAGTTCTAAGAGAAGAAGCTTGCTTACGCTTACGGCGAAAGCTTGTATTCTGTTTAGTTGTGCTCGGAGCGGTGTTCCACTTAGACATCTCTAAGATCCAGCATTGAGGTGAAATCAGCTCTTTTCAAGCCTCATAACATTCCTGCTCTTGGGAAATTAATCTTGCTGGGTGAATACTCCGTCCAAAGTAATTTCAGTCCAACTAGCTGTAGAATAAGGTAACATTCTCTTTGTAGTGGCTTAGGATATTACAAGAGATTGTCCTCTCACGCCTCTCTCTTGCTAGACTCGTGTTCACTTCGAGACTGACCGCTGCAACTCAATTCGCAGCTTCTAAGAGATACTAGGAAGCAAAGCAAGTAGCTGCATGGCGCCACCGTTCGAAATTAGCGGCCAGTTAGCTTGGTTGTAGTAGTTCTTGTGCAGCTATTTCATTTCGAATCGCGATGTGATTGATAACATAGTACGGTTAGCATTGCTCGCTCATTTTAGTTAAGGGCTGTGAGAACATGATTCTGATTGCGATTAGAAGCTGCCGCGGCTCGACAGCCTTTTCCCCTAGGGTAGAGAAGGGGAGTTGACGAATTATCAACTGGTAACATCATCCGACTTCATGACACAAGCTGGAAACATCAGCTATTACTGCTTGGACTTGCTTTCCTGCTTACTAATTTGGTTTTGCGGGTGTCAACTATAGTGCGAACACGTAGATCTAAGAGCCTCCAAATGCTGCTCTCTTCAAAGAACATGTGTTCCAAGTCCTTGAACTGTTAGTAAAGTTTTACGGCTGCCTTCGGATGAGCTGGTTTAAGTCTTACACGGCCCACAATATATGTTGTGGAAGTGATTTTGGGACAGAGCTGCATTCATGATACTAAAAGGAAAGGTGTATTGTAAGATAACTGAATGATCCATGGATTCAGGAATCAATATCTCCTGTAGAACCTCTGCTAGTCCCTCAGTGCTGCTTATCGATTTCTTCAGCCAAAATAGAAAAAAATGAGGGGGAGGTGTCTAGGCGTTGACATACTGAAATTCCTGTTCACTTTCGATGTTTAAAACCTAAGTGCCATGAATTGAAAGGTAGATATAAACTATAAATACTCATCCTTACACATCAGGAAGTTCTGAAATTCTATCATCTAAGATTGCGGCAGGTCGCCATAATCCACTAGAAATATGGAAGCGTTAGTATGCACTAAGATACAATGCATGTAGTTTATCTCAATTATACACTTCCTGTCTTCTGTAATAGGTCTACACGATTCTAATATTTCCGGTCATTGTAAAGTGCAGAGCAGTTGGATCTGGACTACTTAATGATCAACTTGCGATTGTTCAATCTTCTGCTTCAAGGTAGGGGGGTTGTCGAGGAGAACGTCATCGCAGTCAAAGACCACCATGTCCAGTAACCTTGGTTTTAAACAAGTGCAAAGGGATGTGTCTGAATGCCAAGGTTAGTCTATGATCTCAAATATGTTGCTTTTTACAACATGAAATGCATTCTAGAAAGCAGATTAACTGTTTGAACTGCATAGTCATCACGATAGATCAATGAATTATCATATGATTCATGAATTAGAGGGGGGGTAAGTCGGGGTGTCATATTTAGCAGATTTATTTCTTGAGTAGGAATTGTATGCTGCGTTTGAAAATGATTATCACTTCTGCAGTAGGTGTGGTTTATTATACTGCAGCATCTCCAGTACAGTGCTATGGGAGGAACTTACGTTACAGTATAGGTGTAAAGTCATCACATGTCCACAATGTGCCATAGGAATATCGCATTTAATGCCTACAGCTGCTTCCAGGATGAGAAGGCGGTCGGTATGTGGTCCAAACCCGCGTCTCGCTTGTCCAGCGAACCACATCATGGGCCCGATGTTACTTTGCGACTGAACAACTTCGATTCGGCAGCCTCTTCATCAGATAGTGATGTCTCGAGCTCTAAAATTATTGAAGGTCCAAGCGAAGTGGGAAAGGATGCTTCTCCTGTTGCGGTTGTGAGAAATATCTCTCCTGCCTCTCCTGTTCCAGGGTTTCGTTTCGTCGAGGAGAAGACAGCTACGCTAGATATTGCAGAAACAGCAGCTGCCACTGCATTCCGGGTTAATGGGGCTCCGAGATTTCTTCGCTACGGCGATCACGATATGAGTCGATCACATGACTCAATGCATAATTCATCAGGCAAGGAAAATGAGAGTTTTTTGAGGGTTGCTGTTGAGGAGCACCGTGCTTACCCCACTTCCAACCTAAGCGATTTTGAAGAGAGGAGTCATCCCTTGAATCTCTTAGGTAAGATGGCCATCGGTTTTAGCCCATCAAGAGATCCTATTATTCAATTGCGAGAGGAAATTGGATCATGGTGTATGGTATCCAGCTTGTGATTGTAATAGAAGATTCAGAATCAGATCACTTGTCGGGCGTCGTCCTTGACTAATTCTACGCACGCTTCAACAAATTCTTTGAACTGAATTTCAGATTGTGCCAATGCAACAGGTTCTAGACTGGAGGCAGAGTATACTCGTGGAGCAGACTTGAAGCAATGGCCGTCAGGATCTTGGGATGTCGGACGAAGGAGTGGATCAGGAGGTCTGGAACGAACACACATGGGCCCCAATGGCTTTTCAGGTTCGGGTACTTGGGATGTAGGACAAATGGGTAGTTTAGAACCAACACATAGCGGTCCGAGCCTTTCAGGTTCTAGCGACTCGGATTATGGTGACGATCGTGTCCGGGAGCAAAGTAACAGCAAGTTGCCCTCTTCGCAATTCCGCGGTGTCGTACCCCAATCAAATGGACGATGGGGGGCTCAGATATATGAGAAACACCAACGCATCTGGTTGGGAACCTTCAACACGGAGGAAGAAGCTGCACGTGCGTATGATAGGGCTGCCATCAAGTTTCGTGGTCGTGATGCAATGACCAACTTTCGACCGGTAACAGACTCGGATTACGAATCCGAGTTCTTGCGCTCCCACAGCAAAGAACAGATTGTAGAAATGTTACGGCGTCATACTTATGATGAAGAGCTCGATCAGTGCAAGAAGGTCTTTAATATGGATGTTGCTGCAAACGCAGTCAGAGCACGACGTCGAGCTCTTGAAATGTGTAGAACATCAGCTCCAGAGACCGGACTATCTGTTGGATCTTTTAGCCTCGGTCCGAACGCATCTGCTGGTGATACTTCAATGTGTCTACCTCCAACCAGCTTGCCTAGAAACACTTTAAAAGAGTGCGCACCAACACGAGAGCATTTGTTTGATAAGGCAGTGACACCCAGCGACGTCGGTAAGCTGAACAGGCTCGTCATCCCCAAGCAGCATGCCGAACGGTGCTTCCCTCTTGATTTGTCCGCCAATTCGCCTGGGCAGACTCTTTCCTTTGAAGATGTTTCAGGGAAACATTGGCGATTCCGATACTCATACTGGAATAGCAGTCAAAGTTACGTGCTTACCAAGGGCTGGAGTAGATTCGTGAAGGAGAAGAAGCTTGATGCAGGTGATATTGTGTCCTTCGAGCGAGGTCCAAGCCAAGAACTCTATATTGATTTTCGTCGAAAACAGGTGATTCCAGGAGGAACTTCCGCGTCCGATAGACCCACGTTTCGAAGTGCGTGGACTGCATCCTGCAACAATTCTTATGCACCATCAAAGGGTCCTAGCAGCCCCTTCAACCCTTCGATGTGGCAGCCCTTCAACTTTTCTGCTCCCCAAGTACCAGGGATTTCCTCCAATCTCCAGCAAAGCATGGAGAAAACACTGTTGTATGGCGGCATCTACAGCCAAATGATGGAGTCAGCCGTAGGAGTGTCTGTGGGATCTGGTAATCCGGGACGCACTCAAGACTCTGGATTACCAGACATGGCAGCCAGCAATTTCAATCCTGGGCTACAGTCTTTGCCTTTAAAGTCTTACGCGGCTACGGAAGATTTCATTGCAGGCATTGAAAGACCACAACGGCAATTAAAAGATGTTGATGGAGGTCCCAATATCCATGACAGGTCTCTTGTCGCCTCCAGCAGCAGCACATCATCACAGAGTGAAGAAGCGCCGAGCACTAGCAGTGGAACAAGGCTTTTTGGAGTTGATTTAGAGCTGGCAGGTCCCTTTGCTTTAAAAGGTTCTCATTTGCAATCAATTCCTAACCTTACTTCCGGTGCTTTACCCTCGATGTTATTAGATGGGAATGCATCCTCACCAGGAAATGGGACATCCATGAAAAATGGTAGCAATCTTTTGCTGTCATCTTCTTTGTCATCCCTACCCTCAGGAGAATTTATTTCCTTTCGATTTGGGAATCAGCAACAGTTGAGTGCGTTCAAATCCCTGCCATACAAGGGCTCCGAGGAGCAACCACCCCCGGAATATGAAGGAGTTCCTGTGCGGACCCGCTTACATGCCAGTACCAGCAGCTCCAGTGGTCACGAGGGAACCTCACCATTCAAAAGCACGGCAAAGTCGGATGGAGAGGATCCTAAAGCAAGGTCCAGCACCGAAAGTGTAGTATCCGCACTGGATTCTAACTCCAGCCGGTCAAGTCACATAGTTTTAGAAAAGCGAAAACGCGAAACTTCTAGAAACCAGGAGTATTTACACGGGTGCTCAGATCAAGCGGGAGGAACGACTGTTGCAGCTTTCAATCAAGCACATTCAGAATTTCAGGGATTGCAAGAGCAAGCTCGTCATTCATGGCACCATCAACACGAAGATAGCACCTCAGCAGAAGTAAGAACAGACGTGAAAAGGCATTGTTCCCCGATTCAGGCTCCACTCTTGAGGCAAGGAAGTGGAACCACGGAACAGTCGGATTTCCTGCCTAAGTCAGAGGTGCTTCAGGAACAACGAAAGCCACAGCATAATCTCTCCAACGAAGGGGATGAAGGCAAAAACGGCCGTGAGGCGTCTGACCGATAAGTGTTGAATTGCTTATTGCACGATGATTCCCTTGATCCCTTGACCCCCATTATTCCTGATGAAGTTGCTCCATCAACCTTGTACTACAAGCAGGCAGAAAGACAGATAATCTTTGATGCTGCTCACAAAGGTGCGTTCAACACGGAAACATAGGTGCTGTGGATTCTTGAGGTATTTTTGTTGGGGTGTGGTTGTCTCCGCGGTCAAAAAAGATACGTGACAAGGTTTACTTCAATTCAGGGTTGATATAGAATGATTCAATTTACTTTATTTACGGACAGCCTATAATTTCGAGGGTAGTGTAGTCAATTCATGTTTTATTGTAGAGCCCTGAAACAGGGCTGTGTAGATTACACCGAACTGCCGGCGGCATTTGTTCTTATCGTCGCATTATTGAAAGTATACTGTATCAGCCTCATTTAGAAGATCTGGCCGTTCTCCAAAACGAGAAGCTCGGCTAGTTAGATCATCACTGTGTGTGGTCAATGATTTGTACCACTAGAACCATTGAAGCGACATTGCTTCTGAAGTACTCAACATAACTCCCACTTTTTCTTTCTTTCTTTCTTTTTTACCTGTGTATCATGTTTGTTAAGCGAGGATTTTCCGACGAGATGTTTCTCACACGTGCATTCTCCCACTTACGAAAATACTGTCTGGTGTGATACAAGAAATTACACAGGGTGTCCTGTAGCATCTGAATACTCTCTCTGGTGAAACGACAAGTCATCTCTTGGGATTCTCTAGAAAGGATGTCCTCCACCGAAGAATGTCGAACGACGTTCATTTGGGGCAAGGGGCAGGTGGCAATCTGGCCAGTTGCTAAAGCAATTGTTTGCCTCCTAAACTCTAACCCTTCGATTTAAAACCCTAATCTTACACTTTAACTCTTAATGTCCCAAACTTTAATCCCTCCCTCTGAACCTCCAACCTTAAACCCAGCCACAAATGCACATTGTAAAATAAAATGAAAAATATGTGTTTATTCTTCAAGGACCTTGAGCAACAACGAATGCTCTCTAGGTAATTAGTTCCACCATGTATACATAATGTAGTCAACCTCCATGATCAACCTTTGTTCGATGAGTGGGTAGGTTTTGCTCGGGTGTCGAATCACAAGTTTGTACCAGCCAAATAAGTACATTGAACCCATTACCTTCCGGTCTTATCAATTACCGTCACAGAGGCATGCCACCTGCAGCGTATCTTCTTGCAAGAAGGAGAAGGCGAAGTGGACCAGGAAACTGTAGTTGATACACGACAACTGAGGCACCCAAGAATGAGATGTGAAAAGTTACCTGTGATTTGCACCAGGACAAAACCTCTTTGTGACTTTCAACGATACTTCGCTCATACATCCAACTAATTTTGTAGTAAGGTTCCTAGCAGAATACCGATCGTGAAATGGGGATTGGAGAGAGAATTCGCACTTTGAGAACACTTCTAGGGGAAAAAATCTCCTAGCCCTCCTACTCTTGGCTGTTGCAGGAGTTCTTGCACGCAAACAGTACCTCCCAAAATCCAATCTCATAAGTTGCTAAGCAAGACGCTCAAACGAGTACACCGTTTCAAACTCCTGATAGTAACAAAGGCTTTAGAGGACACTACATGATAAAGAAATTACTGTCCAACCTAATAGTTTGTTCAATTAAGTCTGAATCTCAAGCATCTTGAGCAACTACATTGCTTTAACAAAAAAATCCAAGGGATCCAGTATAACTCTACAACCGAAAGCACAAACCTCAAAAACTGTTCCTCAGTGACCGACCTTTACATGGATACTAGTGTATATAATTACGGTGGCTTCATTTGCAACCAGTTATCAGTCGCCATGTCGAATAGCTCTTGGATCTGGTTCAACTCGCTATCAGCCGCTTCCAGCTCTCTTTGCAGTTCCTGGCCAAATGCTTCATTCTCAGCCTCCAGTTCTGCGATTCGCTTTAACTGCGCTTCTTCGCCACCTTGAATATCAGGTAAAGCTGAAACTAAGGCATCGAAGCGCTGAACAGCCTGCACGAAAGCTGTAGCCATCTCCTTCGGCTGCTCGAGGGCTTCAGTGGTAATCCCAGTTGGCTTAGGGTAATCCTGGGCCAACTGCGACGGAGGGGCATCCCTTTGAATAGTTCCTGCTGCATTAAATGCTATATAGGCAATCGCACTAGCATGTTCTTGCAACTGAGCTATGATGTCCATGTTCGCTAACTTTCACCAACCGCTGTCACCAACTTGTATCGAATATATTCAAAAGAAGAAAACGAGAGCAGAGAGCTAGAAGAGAATAGGATCATGCACAAGACGGCTGAGGAAGGCAAGTAACAGCGTTCCCCTAGGAATAGGCAGACGAGAAATTAAGCAGCCCAGGCGTACAGATCCCAGAGAATTTGTAAGACAAGCTCAACTCCGAATATGTATGCTGCAAAAGAAAACTCCCTGAGCACCAGTACTTGACACTGATACAAAAAGCCCACTCCTTGTCCCAAAGCTCCAAATTCCAACTCCCGCTCATCACCTGAGGGACCAAAACCCTAATTTTCTCCCAGAACAGACAAAACACAAGGTTGCCTCCGATGAGCCTCTTGTTGCCAGCTTACGCATAGACGTCAACAAGCATGTCGAATCGCTTCGATATTCCTCATCTGTCTTGTGTCAAGTAAACGCTAATTTAACCACTCTTTCAGATTCAATCTTCCCAAAGGATCACGCAATCCTCAACTCCTCAATACTCACGATTTCCCAACCCTAAACCCTCCGCGGGACTGCTGGCGCCATACATTCCTCCGCCGTCAAGAATTACAAACGCGCACGAGTCTCTGAATATCACCTGTCCAACAGCAACCCGTATTCCTCCGATTCCGACCCGTCACTCCGCCTCCGAATGTTTCAGCGCCTTACGGCGCGCACACACACTTTTCCGAAGCTCACGAGGTCATTTCGCTTCGCGGCCTGAATTACAGCCACAACTCATCGCGACACTGAAGTCAGTCAGTATCATGCACTCGGGGATGGATTTGATTACCACAATATCACGGACTTCACACCTGCCGAGTTGTAATCCTCCAGGCAAGTAAATGAAAGCTTTGCAGACAATTGTGAGGTTCACCGCGCAACGCAAGCATGACTGATGGCATCGCCGAAGTACGTTCTGCTGCGAAGAAGACCCATCATTGAAGAAGTTGTGATTTATATGGGCTTTCTGAACATCATTCTGTGTGTGTTTAGATGTGAGTTGTGGCCAAACGCAAATCCTGTGTGTGGGTCACGTAGCATTATTCTAGAATTAGCAATACAAGTTGTAATTTTAATAGTCTTACATCTTGTTAACATTATTATACATATTATTCAAAAAGTTGATGACTATGCTTCAAGTTAACAGATATTAAACATGTCTTATTGCACACAACTAAAAGCTGGAAGCATTCAACAAAAACGTTGTCTTTCTTGGATTCTTTTTTTATTGTAATTTATAAAAAAAAAACACAGCCTCATTTATAATATGCTATCACTTTTCAATTTTCTGAAAAAAAATTAAATTTAAATACAAATATATACATATAAATTATCCATGGATATAAAACACACACACATATATATATATATATATATATATATTCTTATATTTAATATATTTTTTACCTAAATTGTAGATAATAATATATGTAATTATAATTTCTAGTTTCTAGTTTTTTATAAAAAGAATTATAATTATATCTACAGGTTTTGGAAAAGTTTAAGGAGGGTTTAAAAGTTATAATCAGTTGTATGTTGGTGAAAAAATACATATTTTATTTGAAGTCTGACATGATAATAATAGTTAGATAATAAAATATTTTTTTATGTACTTTATTTTTAAGAAATTATATTATACCAAAGAAACGAGTAGATTTTTAAAATAATATCTTGGACTTTTAACACCTCATGGTTAAATAATACACAAATATATAATCTAGTTATATATAAGCATATCATATAGAAAATGAAAGAAAAAAAAATTGTGATAAGGTGTAAAAGTAACATCATATTTTAGTGAGTAAAGACAATTGAACAAGAATTAGTTATAACTGGAACAAATGTTTAAAATTTTCTTTCTTTTATTGTATATAATTATTATATTTATTATTTATAAAAAAAGAAAAGAAAAAATCTATAATTTTTTAAGAGACTTTTGTAAGAAGATTTCTTATTCTTTTTTATCTATAAAAATTAGCATAAAACTTCTGAAAATTTGTGAAATAATGTGGTTGTTATTAAGCAATTAGAATCTGTATATTTACTTGAAATTTTAAGACACTAAGATAAATCTGTTTACATAAGAATACTTCAAACCTTGTTTGAAATCAATGATAGAAGAAGTCTATTGTGAAAACCTTGCCATTATCAAAGTAAATGTAACAACAAAATATCTACCCAAAAGTATTGGATCAAAACATATGGCAAATAATTAGATAGTAATCCTTCTTAATAAAATTATGTTATAAGATAAAATATTCTTGATTATGACTATGAATAAAATCTTGCACTTAAGGTACTTCAAAGCCTTATAGATTTAACATCTAATAAAATATTGTTAGATAATAATAAAATTGAAATACTAAATGATTATTTAGTACATACATATGTCACATATATAAGAGATGTAATGCATCAATTATTTTTGAAATTTAGCCATATTTTTTTAAAATTAAATAAAATTTCTGTTTAGCATTTAAAATGTTAAACAACATCAATAGTCTAAGCTTACTAAGGAAAGAAATTATTATATACTTTATAAATTAAAAAGATTAATTAAAAATTTTATATCTTTTGCATAAGTTACAACCTATAATGATCTACAAACTATGTTGTGTTGAGAATAGAACTCTTTAAGTAGTTGCTAATGGTCAATAGAGTACAAGTGTTGTTAAGGATATCCCATAAGGTAGGGTGCTGGTCTATAGTACATTAGAGTACAAGGGGAGGGCTGGTCCTAGGAGATATCCCATATGGATTGTAGCACTTGGTACCTTGGTACTAGTATATAAGGAAAGGGTTGGCATGGGAAGAATTATCTCATACCACACTCTATTTGTTATAGTGCAACCTTGCTGGTCCTAACTTACTTGTGTGGAGTATGCTTTCTATGTTTCAATAGGTTATGGGCCCACATTCTCTTACCAAGTAAGTTGTTCTTGCATTTTATTTTCTTTGTTGCTTGTTTGGTGGTTGAGATCTTATGGTATAGTATTACTAGTGTTTTGTTGAAGTCATTACTCCTGGATTTGTGAGTGTATGAGGTTAGTGCAAGACCTTGATAGTGTCTTTGCTGAAGTAACACTAGTATTTGAGAGTTTTATGAGAAATTGAGTCATTTTGAGTGAGGTGATGTAAGGGAGATGTTTGAAAGCCATAGAATTACATGTCATAGCATTTCCCACCATTTAGACGTGATTTGGACTCAAAGTATGCAAAAAGTTGCAAAACAGCGAATTCTGAGTTTGTAGTTCAGCAATCTTTGAGTAGTCATATCTTTTGCATTACAACTCCAAATCAAGAGATTTTTGGACCTACTTGTAGCTTGAGATGGCATCTTTTGAGAGTGATAGCTTAAGAATGGTAGAAAAGTTTAGAGGTGACAACTTTCACCACTGGAAGGCCAAAATGGAGCTACTTTTGGCGTCATTGGATCTTTGGGAGATAGTATGTGAGGAGGAAGAGGCACCTGGATTAGAGGCAAGCATGAAGGAGCAAAAGGACTTCAAAAGACGAGAGAAGAAGGCTTTTGGCATAATTGCCACCAACTTAGATGAAACCAACTTTGCTCATGTCATTTCTTGCAAAGGAGCAGCAGATGCATGGAAGACTCTTTGCAATGTCTATGAGAGTAGGAATCTTTTCAATGTGCTATGGTCAAGGCAAAAGTTCTTCACCGTGAAGATAGAAGAAGGTGAAGATCTCATGGCTCATGTGAATAAGGTAAAAGCACTTGCAAACCAACTTGCTGTTGTTGACAAGCCTTTACTTGAAGAAGATGTTGTGATGACATTGCTCTCAAGCCTTCCGGACTCCTATTCCTCCCTCATTGTGGCATTGGAGTCCATTTCAAAGAAAGACCTCACTTTGGACTATGTCACGGCAAGACTAGCCCATGAAGTGACCAAAAGAAAGCAAAAGGAGTCTATTGGGGAGCAATCAGCACTATTTACAAGACCTAGTAAGGCAAGTGCCCCTTTTCAATGTTATCCTCCTAAAACTTGTTACATTTGTGGAAAACCAGGCCATTTTGCTAGAAATTGTTTCAAGGCTAAGAGAGGAGAAAGAGAGAATGCCAACAATGCTTTTCATGATCATGGAGGTGAAGACTTTGCATTCATGGCAAAACAAACTCCTTCCATGTTTGATATGAGCAAATGGATTGTGGATTCCGGATGTACCAAACACATGACTCCATACAAGTGTTCATTTAACACTTATCAATCAATTCAAGCAACCAACGTTTTGTTAGGTGATAATTGTATGGTACAAGCCATTGGAATAGGCACCATTGTAGTGGAGGTGGTGGTGAAGGCCATAAGCAAGAGAATCACTCTCAAGGATGTGTTGCATGTGCCAAAGATGAAGAAGAACCTCCTTTCGGTGAGTAAACTTATAACTCATGGGTACAAAGTGCAATTTAACATGAATGGATGTTTTGTGAGAACCATGGAAGGCAAAGAAGTAGCAAAAGGGACTAGGAATGGCAATCTCTATATTATCAATTGCAAGAGGATCAATGGAGTGGAGGTTGCTGCCTTTGCTGAATTTCCATCAAATGAAGAGAAGATGGGCATTTGGCATCAAAGACTTGGGCATTTGAATGCCAAAAGCATGAAAGGGCTTCAATCCAAGGTAAATGGCATAGACCTTGGCCATTCTACGATGAATCTTGCTTGTGAGGGATGCATTCAAGGCAAACAACATAGGACACCATTTCCTAGAGGAGTTACAACAAGAGCAAACCAATTGCTGGAGCTTGTGCATTCGGATGTTTGTGGATCCATGAGGACACCATCTATGAGTGGTAGTGAAAAGTGGGAGATGTGTCCAAGTGGGAGTAGTGGTGTGTTTGTGGACACATCTTCAATTCTAGCAAACAAACAAGAAGATGAAGAAGAGCATTCTCAAAGTGAAGAAGAAGAGGAAGATGCCATGATAGAAGAGCCCAATACTATGAAGACTTCAATTCCAGCAAGATACAACAAGGACAATGAAGAGAATGAAGATGAAGAATACCAACAAATGAGTAAGAGAAAGCACTCCATGAGTCATACAAGGCAGCAAGAGGTGCAAGAAGGCTCATCTTCTTTGCATGAAAGAAGATATCCAACACGTGAGAGAAGACCACAAGGTGAATGGTGAAAGAACCACATCTTTCCACAACAAATTGGATGTAAGTGGGTGCTTAGATCTAAGAGAGATGCAAACGATTGAAGGTCAACAATGGGCTATGTATTCTTTGTTTGAGTGGGAGCCATATCTTTGAATAGCAATAGACAACCAAACATTGCAAGGTTCACAATAGGGGCGGAGTATTTGGCAGCAAGTTATGAAGCAATGGAGGCAATTTGGTTGACGTTGTTATTGGAAGATATTGGACTTGTGCAATTTGAAGCTACTCCATTGAGGTGTGACAATCAAGGATGTCTTGCTTTTGGAAAGAATCCAAAGCATCATGCAAGAACTAAGTACATTGATATTCAGCATCATTTGATAAGAGAGAAGATAGAGATGGAGGTTATTGATATGATGTATTGTGAAACCAAAGACATGATGGCTGATTTGTTGACAAAAGCCTTAGTTAGAGAAGGACACAACAAGTTGAGTAAGGCATTAGGATTGATAGCTAATTGACCAATAGCAAAGTGAGAGTGTTGAGAATAGAACTCTTTAAGTAGTTGCTAATGGTCAATAGAGTACAAGTGTTGTTAAGGATATCCCATAAGGTAGGGTGCTGGTCTATAGTACATTAGAGTACAAGGGGAGGGCTGGTCCTAGGAGATATCCCATATGGATTGTAGCACTTGGTACCTTGGTACTAGTATATAAGGAAAGGGTTGGCATGGGAAGAATTATCTCATACCACACTCTATTTGTTATAGTGCAACCTTGCTGGTCCTAACTTACTTGTGTGGAGTATGCTTTCTATGTTTCAATATGTTGCATA